ATACAAAGTTGATATATTTGAGGGTTGGACATGTGGACTAGGTTGATCAAGTTGAACCAATGTAATTCCTTGTTTTCGTGGTTCTGTTGGTTGAATATTGTGTCAGATTGACCAAAATAGTAGTAAAACCAGTAACACGAGTACATTTCGTGGAATTGCTGTTGAAGCACATGATCAGTTGTCTGCCCAAAATTATTCCAATCACTGTTCCATGGAAAACTCATATGTTTAAGTAATATATTATATTACATGGTCAACAACGGAGTAGGTGATCCTCAGTATGGTATCAAGATAAGATATTTATCAGAAGAAGTTCATATCAAGAGAGGATGATGATCATTAGTTGCTGGAACAGAATCATTCTGTTTTTCATCTGATGCATTGCCATCTCATCCTGTTCTGAAAATCATTTCATTGCGTGATGTGAATCAAATTATTTTCATTTTCTTCATTGTCTCAATATTATCTGAACTAATTGCCAAGCGGGGGTTGAACATTGGAAGTTGTACATCTCAACACATTTGGTGATTTTGATTTTGCAAATGATGCTTCGATTTGACATTTGTTTGTGYATCAGATGATGTTTGCAAGAAGATGATCTTTGCTTGGGATCAAGTCAAGATAATTATCAAACAAAGTTCACGTCAAGATAGGATGATAATCAGAAGTCGTCCATCTCAGGGTCCTTTTGGCGATTTCGACGTTGCACCTTTTTGGTTTAAATTATTGGATGAAGTTCACGTCAAGATAGGATCGTGATCGGAAGTCATCCATCTTGGGGTCCCTTTGGCAATTTCCATGTCCTTTTGGCAATTTTGATGTTGCGCTTTTTCTGGATTATCAGATGATTTTTCGAAGAAAATGATCTCGACTTGAGATTGAGTCGATATAATTATCAAACAAAGTTCACGTCAAGATAGGATCGTGATGGGAAGTCATCCATCTTGGGGTCCCTTTGGCAATTTTGATGCCCTTTCGGCAATTTTGATGTTGCGCTTTTTCTGGATTATCAGATAATTTTTTGAAGAAAATGATCTTGACTTGAGATCGAGTCGATATAATTATCAAACGAAGTTCACGTCAAGATAGGATTGTGATTGGAAGTCATCCGTCTTGGGGTCCCTTTGGCAATTTTGATGCCCTTTCGGCGATTTCGATGTTGTGCTTTTTCTGGATCATCAGATAATTTTTCAAAGAAAATGATCTTGACTTGAGATCAAGTTGATGTAATTATCAAACGAAGTTCACGTCAAGATAGGATGATAATCCGAGGTCCGTTTGGTGATTTCGATGCCCTTTCGGCGATTTCGATGTTGCGCTTTTTCTGGATCATCAGATGATTTTTCGAAGAAAATAATCTCGATTTGAGATCAAGTCGATATAATTATCAAACGAAGTTCACGTCAAGGTAGGATGATAATGGGAGGTCCGTTTGGCGATTTCGATGCCCTTCCGGCGATTT